TTAGGTGACCAAGAAATTTTTTGAAATGTAAAACATCATTACTATTAGCATTAAAACACTTCAAACAAATTTCAAATCTATTGTTATACAACATCGTCTTCTAAGCAGTTAAGATAAATTCTATTTCAATACCCCTAAAACACGATTTACCTTTGCAATTAGAATCAACATTTTTTTTTAATTTAGAATGATTTTTGTAAAAATTGTATCAAACGAACACGTACATTTATTTAAGTATATATCGTTCTTGTGGCCAATAGGCTTTATTAGCAACCCATTTTTTAACAAATCAATTGTAAATTTTGATTTAGGTCTATTATACATCATATCTATGTCTTTCTGTGGTTCCATGTATTTACCTCTTATTTTATGAATAATTTTTTTGGGCTATCAACGTACATATTTCTGTAATCAGATTCGTTTAACTTCGGGAGAGCCTTGTTTTGATTTTCTAAATAAGCTCTAGCTAAATGAATCAAACCGTCAAGAACATCTATGTATATTGCAAGAAAAAGTTGACCACAAATTGGCCAATTTATTGATGTTATACGTGTGATATCTAAAAAAAAAAGATTATGATCACCCTGAGGATGCAACATCTGAATCTGAATTGAAATACTCCGTCATAATATTTGTCTATTTAACAGTTTCTAAAGATAAGAGAAAACAACTTTTGGCATATTTTCACTAACAGAAGGCGTCTTTTAAGTGAATGGCAGATGATCCGAAACAAATTGAAAAATCGGGTGAATTTTTTGTCCTAGTGGTATACTTATAAAGTATAAAAAGATATGCTATGTCTTTCCATTAGTAGATATTTTTTTATGAGACGTCTAGCTGCATCCATGAATATGTAAATGTTTTCAAAATTCCTTACTGCACTCCACAAATTGATCTGTTCGGGAGTCCAAAACGTTACTGAAACGGAAAAATTGCCAATCTGTTTGATGGCACTGTTCCATTAAGCATTAATTTTCATAGCTATAATAGCTTTTACAACTTTTTTTCATTAAGAAACTCCATACTTTTTGTAGATAGCTTCTTGACGAGATTTCCACAATACCGAAGTATTATAAACAAGCAGACCTTCAAACTCGCCATAATTATTACAATTTTGAGCTTCAAATCTCTTATATTTCAAGGCTTTCGAGTGCACAAGATCTTTTGGACTTTTTTGTCGAGGAACTCCAGAAAGAGGTATTTTTTAAAAATGACGAATCTTTGTAGAGTCATACGTAGTTATATTAAACTTTAACTTATCAGTTGTAAAATTGATCTTCCTTCAACGGTATTACCACATTAAGAACGTTCATCACAGCTAGAGGGGTAATGTAGAGAGTGCAGTGAGGGGGGAGCGAGCATGTGGCAGCGACGGCAACTGTTTTGAATGCATTTGTATACCTATATATAGGCGTCCGACACTGTTTTTTTAATTTAATTGCAAAAATAACTTGCCGATCTCTTGAAAAATTGAGTATAATACCAGTATTATGGTATTGCGTCATGCAAAAAAAAATTGGAAAAATTCTACACACCATTTTCTTATAAATTCCATTTTTATATGACTCTTCAATAAGGTTACGTGTTAAATTAAAGTTTTTTCAACAATCAATATTTAAAAAACGGTGTTGTGAAACGATCTCAAATTTAACACGTGACTTTCTCACATTATTATGCGCGTTCTGTTGAAATTTCAGTAAGATCGTACAGAAAATGCTGTGTGTGATCAACGTCCTTAAGTGCACACCCTAATAAATTAAATTACTTCCTTTTGCTGAACAACGTATGTTTTTTTTTAATAAAAAAAACACAGGGTAAGAGTTTAGCAAATCAAATTTTTTCATTAGAGTTATTATTTAAGACTGGTTTTAGTATTGTTGACTTAACGTCGTCAAAAAATATGTTAAAGTTCAATATAAAACTGTTTAAAACATCGGGATTTTTATTTTTTAATTTGATATTTCTACACCACGTTTACCAATTATATTTCCAAATACGTAAAAATAAACAGTTTTACCACTTAATGTATTATGGAGTTTAGAACTACCTTTTTGCCAGATAGTATTTAATTTTGGTTTCCTTTTTCCGTCAAAAATCATGATGATTTCAAAGATTTCAAACAGCTGATCAACTCCTAGTGCTGCATAAGGAGGCATTGTAGTAGAGTTTTAAGTTACAAAAAGCTCCTTTTTTTGCTTCTAAAATGAGATAAAATTATAAAATATAAAACAAATATATAGAGACACATGTCTGAATCGAGCTAAAAATTTTTTGCATCAAAATACAGGATACAACTTAACAAGCTATCTTACAAATAATCGTATCTGATGAACAAAGTTTACTCCTTCGGTTTAATCGAGTAGATTACTTTGTTATATTAATGAGATATTACACATATGCCTACTGCATCTTCGTGTTCGAAATGCTTGATATAAAGCACGACAGCTTCCATTGATACATCCATCGTATTGTTTGTCACAAAATCTTAAAACTCAAAACCACTCAAGATAATTTTGTGTCGGATCATCTAGCTGAAATACGTAAAATACATTTGTGAATAAATGTAATTAGAAAGACAGATAGTTGCATGAAAAGCTTTATTCTGAAACAGATCTTATAGAGCACGAGCTGACGATTCATGCAGAGTAGCGAAGCACTGATAAGGCAAAAAAGAGCTATTGACGTCTGAAATACGTGAAACAAATTTGTGAAAAAAATGTTGGTACTTGCAAAGACAGACACTTGAGTGAAATAATATTACCTGATAAAAATCTTGTAGAGCACGAGCTGTTGATTAATGCGGAGAAGCGAAACAGCTCATGGATTTAGTTAAGTAAACCCCGAGTATAAAAAAACCGCTGCCATAATCCCTACCTATAACCTCTAATACTTGTTGTTATTTGAAATTTAAATGTTTCAAATTGACCACACAGCACCACTGGTGCTGCACTAGAAAGAATTTTTTGAGGCAGCGACTCGGGGGTCGCGTGCCCCGAGTCACTGTCATTTTTTAATTAACGTTAAACATCAATATTATTTTGAATTCACACATCACAAAGCAGCTTATTACTTAGTTTAAATTAGCTTGATTTATTTTTTGAATAGCCTTACTTTTCGATTATAAATAATATCTATACCTACCAATATCTATCGGTACAAAGAAATTTACTTCTGCTGCCTTTAAACTAACGGAACGGAACGGGATTAAAAAATCAGTAGGGAAAGTTACTAGATATTTGGCTTGTATCACAGTTACAAAATTAAATTTAATTATTCTCTTATTTTATTGCATCCAAATCAATCAATTACTACACCGTCATAATCAGGAAATGTGGAGGAATCGAATGGTGTCGTTCGAATATACTTTTATCGTAATTCAGCATCTGAAATGAAGGTTCTTTTTTTTTTTTACGCCACACCTTATTTTAAGGTTGTCTTCTGCAAATATCTCCGAAACCATTTGTACACAAATAAAAAAATTAGTGGAGATGATTTACACAAGTGAGGAGAAATAGTTTGAGTTTTGGACAAGTACGAAATATCACCATTTATTTTTTTTGGGCGCTTACTTCACAAGTCTGCTCAAAATGCTTACTATAAGCTTTCTATAAGGATAATAGTGGTTTAAAATATATTGCAGAGCGTGCTTCACAGCGTCCACATTACAAACTATACCCCCTTATTTATATTACGCCGTAGTCGAGCAGACAAGGTCATTTTCGTGCTTGCTTGTCATACTTTCAAATTGCATCTGCGGTTTTTTTCTCTACAGCTACTGTTTTAAAAAATTTCATTAAAATAAATTTATGTTTACAAAAACTAGATTGACAATTAGTTTTCATTTAGTATTTATAAATTGTTAGCTTCGAAGAAAAAAAAGCAGGAGTTTATCATGTTTGTGAAAAACTAAAAACACTTGCTGCATTCTAATTAACAATAAAATCACCGTTAAATAAAGATCAATAATTCTCACTAAGGTCTGATAAATAGTAACAAGAATTGCAATTCTTTTTCTACTTTATAATTATATTAATTGATAAACTAGCGCCTTTAACTAAATAACTCGGTAAGCGCGTGTGTATTAGTTATAACTCATTTATAATGTTGATTAATAAGCAAGCATCTTCAACCCTATAACTTTGTGTACTCAAGTCTTTTCGTTTTAAATAAGCAATAGCGTTAATTGAACAAGTAGCTCTAGCATTTCTATCTTCAATAAATAAAAACACTTGACGTTCTAATTACAGAAGATTTGAGTTGGAATGCACACGTAGTGGCTACATATTACACGGGGTCCTATGTTAATTACGCTATCGGGCGAAACTTTTGTTCAGCTCTCTCAAAGCAATGATGGTAACTAGCCTAATTATTCCTCACTTGGATTATATTTGTTTAGTTTATAAAGCCCTGTCGGGATACCTTGCTGTTAAGGTGGCTTAATACGAAATCAAAATACACTAAGTATTAACGAAACTTGGAGGAATTACACTTTAATATGAACCGAATCACCTCTAAAAATTTGAAGCTGTGTTGCCAGACAATTTTTGAAAACAAATCTCTTAAAAATTCATGTTTTACTGGGGCTCTTATAAAAGGCCATACAATATTGATTAAGAATGTTACGATATTTTCCAAAATATATCTTAACGTTTTGTATAAAATTAGGAACTAAAATAAGTCGTAAACTTCTTAATAATATCAAAAAAATTTGGGAGTACCAGGTAATATTTTAGTATGAGCTATCGAAAAGGTGATTTTGTATGAACAGACACAGGTTAATTGTGCTACGGCAGCGTCATCCCCGGATGTTTGTTGATCTAATGGTCTGTTGTCACGCAATCAGATAGTACACGTGTCATGAGCCACCTTAAATTAGATAGACTTTGTAACACGAGACTTTGTAATGATGAGCTGGGGAGTTGAATTGGGTTAAAAATTAACAAAGGCTTAAAAAAAATATAGTTTGGATGTAATGAAGTAATAAATTTATTAACTTTTACCTTAGTTGCCTTTAGATAGAACAATATGTTAGAGCCTTTTGTATCATCATAATTAATACAGTATTCGTTGTTGAATCGACTAACTGCATAAAGATGTGAATGATACGCCATACATTTTTTAGTACGAATTGATTCTTTCACAAGCCACTGTAAAAACGAGGGAGAATTATTTGTTACTTTTTCTACATTTCATTCATAATATAATAAAATTTTCTTAACAAAATTATGTAACATATGTTTTTTAACGTAGCAGATCATCAGATTTTTGACTCAGAGATCATGCTACACTCTCTATCCTAAAATCCAGAAAAACACGTCATATTTTTAAGAGGCATACAAAAGTCTAACAGACGCACGTCTTTCAAACGTGGACTCGTAAACTCCCTCCAATTCAGTGATTGCCCTGAAGAAGATGTACAATAGTATTGTCTGCAGTTTCTATTTTAAAACGGATTGAAAGAGAATGCTAACAGTACACTAAATGGCACCTTGAACTTTACCTTGAGAGTAATATCATTTGTATGTAGAAATATCCTTCTCTTTTTTTGTGAGAAAACCAATACTTACAAAAAGTTCTTGGACAAAAAAAAAATTTACACAAAAAAAAGCTGAGTTTTATATTTATAAATAATGTGCCATTATAGGCAAGTAGAAATAACAGCGGTGTATGTTATCTCTTACAGATAAGAAAATAAAAGATTTAATGTACTTACAATTAAATAGCATTAATTTAAAGACTTTCTTTTTGAAGTCAGTAGATGAATTTCAGTAAAGTTCAAAAAAAAAAGTAATAATAATAAAATTAAAAAATTAAGAAATCAGGTTTTGAAAGCAAAGCTCTAAGCCAATTTGATCTCTAATTCTCTATTGTTTTTAATAATCAATACAATTCACAAGAAATATCAAAAATGTTACTTCTTTATAACTTAGTTAATAAAGTTTTAATAGAGCGATACAACATAATAAAATATGTCCTATGTAATGATGAACTTGGCATGGTTTTATTTCAAGAAACGATTTGAAAATCTACATAAGGAAACTCATTTGTTTAGTAAATATATCTCAAATATTTAATAGAGCTTATCTTTTTTTGTTGTAACGTCTAGCTTATGGATACGTTATAAACATAACAATATCTTTGTGAAAAAGAATGGGAATTTGAGAGTTATTAGTTTCTTAATGTTTTTTTTTTTTGCAAATACCTCAACAAAAACTTACGATATTATTATAAAACTACTGCATTTTTATCAGTTGTTGTTAGTCCAACTTCAATTTCTTTTTTTTTTTCAAGTAGCGAGATAAAATAATAGTAACTAAGTACTTGCACAGTTTTTATATTGATTTATCATTTTAGTTAATAGCTGTAGACAAATATGTCAAGTAAGTGACAAATCAATTTACTACAAATAGAATCGTAACTTTTGATAAGTATAATATTAAAGATAAAACGAAACCAGTAGAACATTTGGAGGTGAAAATACTACATGGCTGGCTAAACGTTGAAAATCAAACAAAATTTTGAGATCTTAGTCTCACAAAAATATTTTTTTTTTAGTTATAATAAATTTTAGATAATACTATGTACCATGTACACAGGAAACTTAATCCCACAGAAAAATACCGATCAGAAATTGTGTATAAAAATCCTTATATTTTCATTATCAACACAGTCATCGAAGAAGCTTAATTTCAAACGAAATATAAGTATTATTGATGTTAGTCAAAATGCGTCAAGCAGATTAGATAGTTTTCTATTTCAATGATTCTCATTTGCTTGAATACAGTTTGAATGTTTGTCTTTCCGTGTATTTCCTGGTTAAAAATCGCAGTCCCATGTTTCTATCAACTCATAACTGAATGTTCGTATTTTTTCGCTAGTTGCATAAGTTTTCTTACATTTATTATCCATAGTCTCAGCACTCCTCAAATTAGTATCTCTGTTCATTTGATAACACTGGGGCAACCGTGCTAGAAGTAACTTTGAAATTTTAATTCGATTCTTTGATAAATAATCATCCTTAAGTTTTAAGGATCATCGTAACTATTGACAATACTGTCTGGTCTCTCTTGGCAGTGTTCAACATGTTAGATAAATAGCTTGAGAACGTATTTCTTTAAATAAATCCGTTTTAGAGCTACTGTGGATTAGTTGTTTGCTATTTAATAACCTTGTTATGGAATAACACTAATTTTGTTTTTTTTACAATTTTTACTCTGTACACACGCTTACTGGTCGAAACCATGGTTGAGCATTCAGTAAAGGATCTACTTTAAATAAGATAAAGGTTTTTGGAAAAGCTCCGTAATTAATCTCAAAAATTTCACATCTTGTTAACAGTTTTTTTTGGAATTTTATTTTTAAAGCCAGATACGTAAGAGGTTTATCTAGTTCGTTGTAGTATCCTAAAAACGGATCTCTAACTTTAGTATGCATAGTAATATATAT